TGAAATGATGAAGAACTTTTGAGAATGAAACTTCTGTGAAGTGATGATGACCTAACTAGTTTACATGGATGTGGTAGCAAATACATGTGAAGAAAGGAAACCATAAATGTAAAATAGTTTGGAATTTATCCAAGTCTTTCCATTCCTATATGCAGTCACTCCAACACATGGAAAATAGGCCTATTTGAATACCTTTATTTTCTTATTTTAACTAAGACACTACGTAGGATACAACAACAATGGACATTTTAAGCACCAATAAATGACCACGACATCTTTAAACATTTATAAATACTAACCATTCCTAAGTATCAATAACTATCAATATATTGTCAGTTCTGTCATAACACCTGATGGTGTGCAATTTGAAAACGAGAGCAAAACTGGTTCGTGAACTGGTTAATAATCATTGACAAACCTGTATTTTTTACCTATTTGCTATGGTAAGCAAATACAAATAAAATGATATATAATGTATAATTTCAGAAATATATAATAAAAATATAAACAAAAAATTCAAATATAGTAAGCAAAAAATACTGTGAAATTTAAACTATAAATCGTTCAAGAAAGGATGTTTACATTTCTATGAAGATGATTCTTTAGCATTAGTTTGGCATATTGCCACAGGTTTTTAAAAAATTTTTTTTTCAACGTTTATTTATTTTTGGGAGAGAGACAGAGCATGAACGGGGGAGGGGCAGAGAGAGAGGGAGACACAGAATCAGAAACAGGCTCCAGGCTCCGAGCCATCAGCCCAGAGCCTGACGCGGGGCTCGAACTCACGGACCGCGAGATCGTGACCTGGCTGAAGTCGGACGCTTAACCGACTGCGCCACCCAGGCGCCCCTGCCACAGGTTTTTAAATGAAATGGCTAATCTTTTAAGTTTCTGTATATAGGCAAACACAAAATTATTTAAAATTGTAATGGTTCTAAAACTCACAGCTGGAATATGAAGAATGATTTGAGGGCAGGGTGGGGGTGGTGACCATGATGCATATAAACAAAATTTAAACAAGGAAGTACAAATTAGTTTTCCCTAATTAGATTTGGAATTATCCTGGCTTTCAAAATTATAATCTTTAAAATGAAACAAAATCTTCATTAATTTTTTCAGGGAGTCTGAGCCAGTAATTCTCCCTGGGACCTCTTCTCTGAACATGAAATAGTAAATAATCAATCAATCTGTTCAAGTATCTCTATAGTAAATCATATAGTAAATACTTGATGAGTAAATCATCAAGTATCTTTATAGTAAATCATCTATAGTAAATCAGTATAGTTATATACATATATATCATATATATTTTTGTGTTAAGTTTTCATTAGGATAAATATTGTAAGAGCAAAAATAAACCTACTTTACACCAGAAAACAGGCTGATCCTAACACAAGCAGGCTTTGTCATGTAGGTTAAATTTATCTAAATGAAATAGTATCCTATAAATTAGTTTTAGACACTAATGGAGTGCAGGAGGAGCTAGCAAGATTATTTATTAAAGAACTGGAAGATACTACACACTAAGCAGTGGATTTATCTTTTTAATTATTCCACTTAGTCTTAGAATAAAACAAGTCTTTATTACCTCAGGCATGAAGACTGGACAGCAGCAGGAGAGCGGCAGGAAGGCAGCGGGGAATGTGTGGAGCAGAGGGAAAGACTGGTTTTAAGAAAGTACATTCTGTGGATTACTGAGTGACCGAATATATATCCTTATTCATAGTATTTTCATTAACAGGTATTTTCAGCACAGCCTCACAAACACAATGATATACTATTTTTTACTGCAGTCTACTCGTTGTCTACCATACCAGTTCTAGAATGAGCAAGGCACACTCAAAATGGGCTTTAAACCAGGTGTGTTTCCCTATGAAAATGGTAAAATAATATTATAAAATAGACTCTGGAAAAAAGACATGCTTATGGTAAAAGACACACAGTAAATGAATTAGCCAGGCACAATTCCAAGAGCAAGAACTATATTTACAGTCTTCAAGTAGAGCTCATATTCGCTTTTGCCTTTAATTGTAACATTTAGCGAAGGAGCAAAAATAGTGAATCTCATTTTAAAAAATCAAAGTTCAACTTATACTTGGTTCTCTGCTTATTTTTTTAAATTTAATGAAGAATTATTTCAGTGCAATATTAGTGAGGGTTTTTATTTCTTTTAAATATCTTACCACAACTATTGTATCACATTTTGTAAATTGAACATCTAAAATGTTTGAAAGCCAGAAAAATACTAATTCGGTGAGAAGCTCTATTTCTGTTCCTCATTTTTTATACGCTCCATAATTTTTGTAACGTGGACCAAAACGTCACTGTTGCATTTGCTTCCTTACTCTCAGGCTCCTACATCTTTGCCAGGAGCCCAGAGTGGGTTGGTTGGGGACTAGACTACACAGCCATCGGCAGTTCTGTGATTTCAGGGACACGGTGCTCAGCCCACTGCCTGGCACAGAGCACACACATACAGCTGAACAAATAAATCTTCACGCCAGTATTTTGGTTGTTTGACTGAAGGCTCTAGTTCTTCTGTGAAATAGATCATATGTTTACTGAGGACTTCCTGTCAGTTTGCATGTTAGACTAAAGTAAAATTTAGTGAGTCAGTGAAGACACTGTAGACGGTTCACAGTACGTACACATATTTTTTTCTTTATGCTATCCCTCGTCGGGTAGAGAGCTGTATCAAGGTGTTTATGGGTGAACTTTATGCCGTACTGAATCTGTTTTAAAATAGTACAGTAAAGAGACACCTGGGTGGCTCACTCAGGTAGGCATCCGACTCTTGATTTCAGCTCAGGTCAAGATCTCATGGTTTGTGAGACTGATTCCTGTGTTGGGTTCTGCGCTAACAGTGCAGAGCCTGCTTAGGATTCACTCTTTCCCTCTCTCTCCCTGTCCCTCCCTTGCTCTCTCTCAAAATAAATAAATAAACATAAAAAATAATTCAGTAAGAAAAGTGAATCTGCGAGAAATAGGTGAAATATAGTGGCAAAATATTAATAATTATTGAAGCTGGGTGATAACTACTTTTTACACTATTTTTTAAAACTTATTTATTTTATTTATTTATTTAGAGAGCACATGAGTGGGAGAGAAGGACAGAGGGAGCGAGAGACAATCTTAAGCAGGTTCCCCACTCAGTGCAAAGCCCAACGCAGGGTTTTGATCCCACGACCCTAGGATCATGACCTGAGCCAAAATCAAGAGTCGGACACTCAACTGACCCAGTCACCCAGGTGCCCCAGAGGCTCTTTACACTATTACCTATACTTTGTATAGCTTGAAATCTTCAATGATAAAAATAATAAATTCAAAGAAATTTCAACAAAAATGGTTAAGGGCAAAATAAAGACATTTTCAACTAACAAAAACATTTCTATACTTGTCCATCTTTTACAACACGGTTTATACAATATTGTAACCACAGTGAAAAGTTGGAAACAACTTAAATGTCAGTCAGTTGGGACAGTTAATGTAGTAACACCCCCATGCTACAGAATGAATCCTATGTGCCCATGAGAATAATGAGTGTCAGGTGATAAAGGAGGTTCCACAGCAGTGCACAGAACCTGATTTCATGTTCATAGGAGTGTGTGAATGTCCATCCACATTCAGAGGGTTATGTCTGCAAAGAGGAATTACAGATTATTTTTTAACTTTTCTCTTGAAACTGTTTTGTATTATTCAAATTTTTACAAGGTATACATTAACTTTATATTGGGCAGAAATTATTTTCTATAACGATATCCTGTAGTTTTTCTCATTATGCTATTATTTCTAGGTGATGGAATGATTTTTTTTTAACTTAAAAATTATCTTAGGTCTTGGGGCGCCTGGGTAGCTCAGTTGGTTAGGCATCCAACTTTGGCTCAGGTCATGATCTCACGGTTTGTGAGTTCGAGCCCCGCGTCAGGCTCTGTGCTGACAGTTCAGAGCCTGGAGCCTGCTTTGGATTCTGTGTCTCCCTCTCTCTCTGCTCCTTGCCCCCTCATGCTCTCTCTCTCTTTCAAAAATAAGTAAACATTAAAAAAAGTTTTAAAAATTATGTTAGTTCTTAAGTAATTCAAAGTGGGGAAGTTCTATACTTGTAAAAAATTATGAAATCTGGAATAGATTTATTTTTAAAATGAAAATGAAAACATTTAAGGCATTTTAACAAACACACTCTTTTTCCTCAACCACCTACTGAGTGTATTAAAATGTAAGATGTCAAAAACTACATGAACTACATGATTTTTTTAAAAAAGAATATAATTATGTACCTTTCAGTTAATTGAAATCAGGCTGAAATTCTATTAATTACAGAAAGAAATAGCATATATAGAAGAAGAAAATGTTTTCTATTTTGTTCATAAGGAATTTGAATTGAAAATATTCCAACAGTTCTATGCAAAAAAAGTATTTGTGGATATTTTAGTAATACGTTTGTTCTTAGAATAAAACAGATGGCAGAATGGAATAAAATGTAATTTCCAGATGCATGGTTTTCTGAATTCAGTGACTTGGACTCAGCACTATCAGTTAAATCTCAAGTTTGTCTTTAGCCAGCACTGCAATTTTGTGGAGTACATTTTAATGACTAACATTATCTTGGGTAAAAGTCCCAAAGGTACATGTTCCAGTGGTTGTGGAATCTTGGATCTTTGGGCCATCTGCTACTGCTATGACCTCTTAGTCTGCAAAGACCATGGAGCAGAGTGGGAGGCAGCCACAGTGGGACCTCTATCCACCTCATCCCTCTGTGGGGTCATTTACGATTTGCAACAGACCCTGTGTATGGCCCTTATTAACGGACTGCACTGTTCCCAACATTTCCTATTTCCTTGTTGATTATAAAGCTTCAAAGAATTTAAAAGTAGCTCCTTCTTACCAAGAGGCTGGGGATTCCCTAAACGTGGCAATTCCAGTTCAGATAATGTAATGAAAAATAAAGGAATATAGGTCACCTAAGTTACCTGGTAGTCATGTCCTTCCTTCACATCCATGTTCTAAGTTTTAGGAATGATGAGAGATTTCTGAACTTTTGATTTGTCCACATCATGTATCTGTAATCAGATTGAAGAATCACACTTGGTGAAAATGAACTGTATATACTTGCAGTTGTGTTAGAGCAGATATTCTATTTCTCATTATGTTTCTAGATGATCTTGGGCAAATCACTTAAATCTTTATTTAGGGATTTTAGGGGCCCACCATATGGCAAATAACCCAGATTAAAAAATTTTTTTTTACCTTGCTCCTAGGAAAACTGGACTGTCCATAATGGATAGTATTGGAATGAGGTCTCTTTGAAGCTTTTGAAGATTCTTGACACAATCTTCTTTTAGACCTCTGGGATGTTTTGCTTATCACCAATTTGTGGTCACTTACATCAGCTTTTATAGTCTGATTTATTGATTGTGGCTGCAGTAGTTGGGGATCTTCTGTTTCTGTGTCTGATTCAAAAATGTATGGTTGTTTTTTCATTTTTAGTGATTCGCGGCCTTTCCCCAAAATTTGTGTTATATATTTCCTTGTTAAATTTTCTTTTCTATTCACTTGGAAGTCAACCGCACTTTTTATTACACCTAAACTGTTATTTGATATATGAGATACTGAACTATTAGAGAGGTGTTTACTTTCATTTAAACTCACAGTTGGTGATTCTCCATTAGAAGGGGGATATTTTGTCATATTTTCACAGGACTCAGTATTTTTTCCTTGCAGAAGTCTGGAAATCTTCTGATTTAAATTTCTAGCATTCATCTGAATGTTATGATTAGATCTTTTTTTAATAGCTGGATCTAAATTCAGCTTGTCATTTTGGATCACACTAGTTTTAAGTGAAAAGAATTTAGATTCTGTAACAACATGCTGTTGCCTTTTCAGGTTGCCAGGTTCTAAGATCTTTTTATTCATCTGCAAGGATCGATTTTTGAAAACTGGTATGAATGTAGGGGCAGTATTATTCTGGGAGCTTAAGTCTGTGCCTTGAACTTGAAGGTTTCCTGTGTTAGGCTTTGGTGCTTCCAAATGTACTTGTGGTGCCTTGTCAGACAGGGATTTCTTTCCGCTCTGAACAGACTGCTGCTGGAGGTGCAGTGCTGAGGACACCCAGGTTTTCTTCAGCTGGCTGCCTGGAATCTCCATCCTGTGGTTCATGGCTCCTGAACCTGGTACAAGACACTGAGCCAGGACAGGTCTGGTGCAAGGGGCCCGAGTCAGAGAGGACCTAAACACTTGTTTAGTGGTCAGATTAGGCGCCTTGACTTTGTTTTCCTAAAAGGATAGAGATTGGGAAAAATTTTAAATGTAAAAATGTTAATGGAAAAGAAATAATATATAAAATATCATCAAAATAAGAATACCGAATAACACTACAATATATAAAATAGAAAAGAAAAACAAAAAAACAAATGAGCCTTCTTGAGGAAACACGTACACTTCTTACGGTCTGCATCCTTTTTTACATGCCAACCTTTCAAGATATTTTAAGATGAAGATAGGCTCTACATTGTATACAAATTGACTATGAAAACTACAATTAGCTGCCCATTGCCCTCCAAGTATATCCACGCTGTTCTCACTCAGAATGTCTTTCTTTCTTGTGTACACTTTTTTCCTTTTCAACTTCCCATGTTTCTACTATCAGTATTAGGCGCGCGCGCACACACACACACACACACACACACCAGTAAAAGGTGGTGTTCGTAACTTTCAGCGTGCATGTTCCATCACCCTTTGAGGGTAGGAACCATTACTTATTTATTCTTATATACTTTACATTCTTTTATAAAAAAAGTTTTTTTAATGAATAAGAGACAGAGACAGAGCATGAGCGGAGGAGGTGCAGAGTGAGAGAGGGAGACACAGAATCCAAAGCAGGCTCCAAGCTCTGAGCTGTGAGCACAGAGCCCGACTCGGGACTCAAACTCACGAGCTGTGAGATCACGACCTGAGTGAAGTTGGAGCTTAACTGACTAAGCCATGCAGGTGCTCCTATACTTCACATTCTTAAACCCTTCACACAGTTACTACAAAATACTTGTTACAAGAAATTAAATGAATGGAAGAGGTGGCTGCATCTATACCAGGCCTTTAGTAGGATTTTGACTGTAGGGCAGTGGCTGTCTGTGTCTTGATCATTTGTATTTTCATTGTCTAAAAAGTGCTGGTACCTGGTAGCAATTCAACAAGGATCTGTCAGACTGACTTGTCAGATACCCCAAAGAGAGCCAAGTATTTATAGTCTTTTAGAAGAAATTATGGGGGCGCCTGGGTGGCTCAGTCAGTTAAACGTCCGACTTCGGCTCAGGTCATGATCTCACGGTCTGTGAGTTCGAGCCCCGCGTTGGGCTCTGTGCGGACAGCTCAGAGCCTGGAGCCTGCTTCAGATTCTGTGTCTCCCTCTCTCTTTGACCCTCCCCTGTTCATGCTCTGTCTCAAAAATAAACATTAAAAAAATTTTAAAGAAATTATGGTAATATAGATAAAACATAAAGTTTACCATTTTAACCATTTTTAAGTATACAATTCAGTGGCCCTAAGTGCATTCTTCATTGAACTTAAGTTGTGTAACCATCACCACTATCTGTTTCCACAACTTTTTCTTCACTCCAAACAGAAACTGTGTGGTCTTCGGCAGCAATTCCTGTCCTCCCTCCTTGCAGCTCCTAGGAACCTCTATTCTCTCTCTATGTCTATGAATTTGCCCACTCCAGGTATCCTGTATAAGTGGAATCATACAATATTTGATGACTTTTTTATGTCTGGCTTATTTCACTCTGTATGTTTTCAAGGTTCATCCGTGTTGTAGCAGGTGTCAGAATTTCCTTTCTTTCTATGGCTGAATGATATTCCACTGCATGGAAATCCCACATTTTGTTTATCTAGCCACCTGTTAATGGGAAGTGTTCACAGTGTTTTATTTTTTTAAACATTTTACTTTATTTTTTGAGAAACAGAGAGCACAAGCAGAGGAGGGGCAGAGAGAGAGAGGGAAACACAGAATCCAAAGCAGGCTCCAGGCTCTGAGCTGTCAGCACAGAGCCTGGCATAGGGCTCGAACCCATGAATGTGAGATAATGACCTGAGCCAAAGTTGGAAGCTCAACCAACTGAGCCACCCAGGTGCCCCTATAGTCTTTTAACATATGTATCTATCGAGTCCTAGTGTCTGTAAAAAAGTGACGTGTGACAATAATCTGAAACATGGAATGGGAGTTCTTTTCTCACTCTCTGGCATCAAAAACCCATAAAGTCACAACTTAAAATAAAATTTTAAAAACTGCTAGAAATAATGTGCAAACCCAGTACAACTGACTTACCTCTCTCCACTACTGGAGATAAGCATTGGAAATAGGCAAAGAAAACGTAAGACAGCAATCCATTTATTGATTAGGCAGAATAAATCACACTAAAACTTAGTGGCTCAAAACAATACTTGTCTTCTCTCTCATGATTCTGGGAGCTGACTTGGCTTAGTTCGGAGTCTCTCATGGAGCTGCAGTGAGATGACCCTGGGGCTGGCGTCACTTCTTCACTTGCGTGTGATGGTGGATCCTGGCTGTAAACTGGATTAACTTCAAGCAGCCCCTCATTTTGCCTGAGATCCCAGAGCAAGTGTCCTGAGAGAGACAGTTTCTACCTGACCTAGCCTTGGAAGCCACACAGCATCACCTCTGCCACAGTCCTGCCCAGACCCAGGAGGAGGGAACATAGACTCCACCCTGCAATAGCCTGAGTGTTGTCATTGGTCATAGGGCATGTGAATGGACAATCTCATGGCCATGTCAAAAAGCATTCTGTCTCTGGCCAGAACCTATGTCATCCCTTACCGACTTCAAGCCTCCAATGTCACAGTACCAAAGGACTGGTGCATTTTGCAATGAAGTTGCACAAAAATCTGATGCAGGCTTTAGACAGGCTTAAAGAGGAGATATGGTGGGAGATGAAGGAACCATGGCCCAATTATGTCTCCACACCAACAAGGTGCCATAGGATATCCCCCAAGGGGCTGAGTTGCCATACAGGCCTCACAGAGATGGAAATTCCAAGTGTAAATATGGTTCTTGCTTCACTTCCACCTTTCTCATCACGTTACCCTATGCCAGAACTACGTAGAGACAGGAATTCAGAAAAATAGACTTCTAGCATACTTAAGTTGACATAACACAAAGTCTACATGGAGAACAATATTCATTCTCCTACCCTGGTTATTCTTGGGAGAAGTGGGAAGACTCTAAGAAAAATTTGGGGTGAGGTTTGAGTTGATGCTAAAAACAGATGAGGAGGGCTCACTTCTTGTTTGTCTGTATATTTCTCAAGTTGGAGGCTTATCCATGTCAGTAGGGCAAGAATACACTTTACTTCCCCATAATTTTCAGAGGGCACCAAAGACCCAGACAGGTTTCATGACCCTGAGTGAAGGGATACAGAGGCTGACCAAGGAATAAGAGCTGGCTTATAACCCCTGCAGATTGCTACCTTGAATGAAAAAGCATGCATCACAAAGGGGTTTGTATTAGTTTGATAGCGATGCTGTCCCTATGGATGGGGATGCCACTACCATGACTGAGTGGCTTAAGCAACAGAAATGTATTGACTCAAAGTTAAGGAGGCTAGAAGTCTGAAATCAAGGTGTTATTAGGATTGGGGCCATGAAGAAAGTATCTGTTCCAAGCCTCTCCTCTTGACTTGTAGATGGTCATCTTCATGTTCACATGGAGGTCTCCCTGTACATGTGCCTGTCTCCAAATTTCTCTTTTATATAACATTACCAGTCATATTGGATTAGAGGCCCATTCTATTCCAATATGACCTGATCTTAACTAATTATATCTGCAGTGATCCTATTTTGAACAAGATAAAATCCTGAGATACTGGGGTTAGGGCTTCAACACATGAATATGGGGCAAGGAGGACACAATTCAACCCATAACAGGGTGTGATGTGTCCTTCTGAAGGCCCTCTGTACAAGGGAGCTAGGAGAAAACCCTGCACACTATCTTCGTCAAGATACTTCATGAGCAGAGACCACAAACATCAGACCAATCAAGTCAAGAAGTGAATGCCTCCCTCACCCCTGCATTACCCAGCTGTGACTGTGGGATGGGTATGGTGGACTGAAGTTCATCATCCATCCTATCCTCTGTCTAGTGTTCCTTCCTAAACCGGTGCCTGGAAATCTAAAATGGACATTTTCTCCTTTGCAGCTAGGGTTCAGAATACAATTTAGGATCAACTAATCAGACACAATCATACATTACTTGGAAGGAAGAAGTGAGATAAAACCACACTTCTGCAGTTTCTGCTGGAAAGTTCAATTATGAATGCCTTTGCTATTTTAGTTGCAGAGTTAGCAGAAGTTAACTATCCACGCATCATTTTTGTAGGTGTCCAGAAACAGCTTAGGGCATTCATTCTCATGGACCATATTAAGCAAATACACCAAATGTCCTCAGCCTACACAGCCTTTTCTTGTATAGATGCTACCATGAGGAAAATAAGAATTCTTAAATTTCAATGAAATTCTGCCTCAAGGAGAGCTTTTATCAGAAGTGACTGGATCATCTTAAAATGTTTCAATATGTATATATCTCCATTTGATGAAAAAAGGGTTGAAGAACTAAGCCATTTTTTGACCCTTGGGTTTCATAAACTATAGTAACTTTTAAACAACATACCTACTACTTGAGATTCCAAAAGAAAAACTTGTTCTAAGCAGATTCATATGAGAATAGATTACTTGTATTCTGACATAAAACTTACATAGAATGTGTGTCTGAAATATGCTTATATTCACACCCTGTTTTGTTTTCACCTGTGTTAGGAACATACATCTGATGAAAATAACTTCCAAGGACTTGTTTTGCCCCCTAGCTTGTCAATGTATTATTTCCTCATTCTTTCAACTTCTAAAATAAATAGCCCAAAGGGTGAAACCTCTAGGTTTATATTCAAAATTTATAAAAAGACTACAAAAAAGTACTATGTAAATAGCAAATGAGATCATAAATAATTCATAGAACTTAAAATACTTAAATGGTCAAAAACCAAAGCTTTATGAGGTCATAGCTAAAAAAAATCATATGCTTTACTACATTATCATTATTCTGCCAGGTATCACTGGCAAATGTGGCTGACTTTTAACTTCTAGAACTCTACATACAATTTACATAACTTGATGCATTAACATAAAGTGTAGAGGAAAACCAAAAGCCTTAACCTATATTATTTAGATATGAATAGATGTCATTTAATGGAGTCCTAGAATTAAGGTCATGATTAAATGAAACTTGAGGACTGACCGAAATGACTGATCAAATGTGTTTTATTAAAATCTGGTTCTGTGTAATACACCACCTGAGTGTTTCTTGATTAAAGTTGAACCATATGAGTGAAGTCATATGATACTTGTCTTTCTCTGACTGACTAATTTTGCTTTAAGAGACAAAACAGATGAACATAAGGAAAGGGAAACAAAAATAATATAAAAACAGGGAGGGGGACAAAACATAAGAGACTCTTAAATATGGAGAACAAACAGAGGGGTTGTGGGAGTGGGGATGGGCTTAAATGGGAAGGGGCATTAAGGAATCTATTCCTGAAATCATTGTTGTACTATAGGTTAACTAATTTGGATGTAAGTTAAAAAAAATTAAAAAAAAAAAGTTGAACCAGAATTCAGTTAAGCTTAGATCTAACCACAGGCTTGTAGGAAATATGAGGTTTAGAAGAATATGTTAACTTCAAATGACATGACCTAAGAAAGCAACAGTCAGTTCCAGAATATGGTACATTCTCCAGGGCAAATGGTCCAGTTCTTCCAGCAAATAACTGACATAAATAAAAGGAAAGTGGGGAAGGGGGTTGGAATATTATAGAATAAAAGAGACTTAAGAGATAACAACCAAATGAAATTACGTGGACCTTGATTGGATTATGATTTAAACAAAACCTCTAAAATTAATCTTTGAGATTAATAGGGAATTGTAATATGGGCTGATACTACACGATGCTAAAGAATTATTGGATAATTTTTTAAAAGCTCCTGTCAGATAGAAATCCATACTAAAGTCTTCACAGATGAAACAACATCACATGTTGGGTTTCTTTTTTTTTTTTAAGTTTATTTATTTATTTTGAGAGAGAGAGAGAGAGAGAGAGAGAGAGAGAGAGAGAGAGAAAGTGTGAGTTGGGGAGGGGGAGAGAGTCCCAAGTAGTCTCCACCCCATCAGCATGGAGCCTGATGCAGAGCTTGAACCCACAAACTGTGAGATCATGACCTGAGCTGAAGTCGGATGCTTAACTGACTGAGTCATCCAGAAGTCCCACATCTTGGGTTTCTTTTAAAATAATACTCCAGTTTACTCCCCACCCAAAAATATATCAAAGAAGAGCTAGATGCTAGACATATGAGAGTTTGTTATAGTAATTTCTTTTACCTATCTTTGAGAATTTCAATCAGTTTATTAAAAAAATCTAGTCTGGTAAAGCACTCCTGTTAATTTAATGTTTTAAAAAGTCAGCTGAGTTTTATCAAATAGTCTGATCAATTTATTTTTTACTTCAAAAAAATTTTTTAGGGGCGCCTGGGTGGCTCAGTCGGTTGAGTGTCCGACTTCAGCTCAGGTCATGATCTCACAGTTCATGGGTTCGAGCCCCATGTCAGGCTCTGAGCTGTCAGCAGAGTCCAAGGCAGGGCCTAAACCTATAAACTGTGAGATCATGACCTAAGCCAAAGTCGGACACTTAACCGACATGGGGACTGAGCCACCTAGGTACGGCTATTTTCTATTTTTTAAACTTCCGCATTTTAGACTACCCGAATCTTAGAGCTAACGTGGTGTAGCAATAACAGGAACTAACATTTACTGAGAGCTCACTGAGTACAAGGAACAGTTCTAAGTATTATCTGATCCTAAAGCAAAAAACAAAATACTGCAAAGTACCGTGAAGGACATGGTGACATGTTGCTCAGATCCCCTTCACAGAAGGGCTGCTGCCCCCACTCCTGGGAGTTGGCCCCTGCATGGGCCAACCTACCTCATCTTAGGACATGCCTATATCCCCATGTGGTGCAAATCCAATGGCAGATGGAGGAGGGGGCACAAAGGTCTGGCTATTTGGATGATAAAAAACCACCATGATGAGCTGTTTAGCCTTAGAGCTCCTCAGAAGATTGGCCAAGGCTACCTGCTACCTGCTTTGCTTTTGACTTCTCCCTTGACCCCACGTTCTTCCATCCTCACTTTCTGCAAGTGTTCCAGGTTCAGCCCCAGTAAACATCACATGCACTAGACTCCAGAGTCAGCTTCCTAGAGAGCCCAATTTGCAACAAATGTTATTATCACCACCACTACCATGCCTTGTTTTACAAGGCAACTGAGGCACAAGGAGATCAAATAACTTGCCTAAGCTTATGCACATAGTAAGGGTTCCTAGAGCCAGAGCTCTTAACCACAGATGTAAACTTTTCCCGGTTTTGTGACTAAGAATCTGCCTCTGGGGTTTCAGTTCTAATTCTGCAATGTATTTAACTGTGTGGCTTTGGTTAAATTACTTGGATGCTCTGAGCTTCAGGTTCTTCTGCAAAACTTGGAAAACAATTCTTTATTCCAAGACTGTGTTTTTATGATTAAGATGAAATAATACACATAAAAGCAGCTGGCACACAGAAGGCACTCAATTAAACTGAGAATGATAAAGTCTTACTGTCAAGAGGAATATAAAGACCAGGGTTTCCAATTAAGTGTTGTTTTACATTGAAAAAGCAAATTTGAACAAGTATACTGTCCAGATTCACTATTTCTAAAACAGACATGGACTGGAAATAATTAAGTATTCAATAAATATATCCAATAAAAACGCATTATGTAATGACGTATTTTCTTCTTAATTCCACAGATACGGACTTGGCCAGCAACTAAACTTCTAAAAATGTTATGTCTGGGCAAAACTTAAGATTCATTATCATAAGGATGTCAATTGGAATTTATTCACTCACATTCTTTTCTTCGAAAATGGCCTTGTCTATTGGCCCTGATATCTAAATGGGCTGCCATGTTTTTACACCATTTACATGAGGTGTCCCTGACTCAAGGATACCAAATCCCCATGCTCACCAGGGACAGAAAGTGCAGCCTGGTCTGAAAAGATAAATGGGGACTATCAGATACTAGCACTGGCAAATTTTAGTTGAGGATTATAAGAGAATGACAATAGAAACAAAAACTGAAAAAATGCCATGAGCCACAGCAAGTCAATGTCATGTGAAACCTGAAATCATTGGAGCAGTGGAAACTACAATAAACAGAGGACACAGTGAACCAAGAAAAGAGATTAAGCAGACAATACAAATATTCATATAATTCATATTACAATTCAGACTACTCAAATTGTTCAAACTTTCTTCTTTCCCTTTTATGAAAACACAATTATCATTTATAAGAAAGATCATTGTTGAAATTTTTTTAAGTTTCCTTATATTTGTTTCTCAAAAACTTCCCTTTCAATTTTGTTATCTGTTGACAAAGAAATCATATTCTGGTGAGTGTAAAGATAGCCCAGAATACTTTCTTCATCAGTATTACTTAATCGCTGGTACTTCTTCACAAGATTTCACTTCCCGTATCCTCTTACAATGAAAACGTTATTGAATTAATTCGATTTCTGTAAACAGAATTATACAAAGGCTTTTTTCATCAACCAGACTCAAATGAAGTGGCAATTCAAAGTAAACTTGGATTTGTATGAGGTGAATGTTTCCAAACTATACTATAAGATCATTTATTTATTGAAGAAAAAAAACTTTTAATGAACATCTATTTTGTACCAGGTACTTGGTATAAGAAAATGAATATGATATTTGTCCTCCAGGAGTTCATGCTAAATTAGAATAGACCAGTAAGCAACTATTACTATATTGCTATGTTAAATACAGTAATAACAATAAATGTCAGTGACAAATGATCAAGTACAATCACATCAAATAGCATTAGGGAAACACTGACCTGAGAGAAAAGAATTCTAGCACAATGGGCTAGGTAGTCCCTCAGAGAGAGCAAGAGATCCAAGTAAGACAGGTGCATACTAAGTCCTGGAAAACTCAGTAGGATATGAAATCTCTTACCTGTACATGAGGCTTCATTAGTTCTTGTGTGTAGTAGCATGGTTTCGTTGTCATCTTTATGGGAAAGCCACATATATGAGGCAGTTTAGATTTTAAATCTGAAAGGAAACTTTGCAACACACCTTCCAAATCTACTCTTGGAAAGAACTGTATAGGCTGACTTCTGATGCAGCTGAGAGGGTATCTGAACAATGTTAACGAATAATAGAACAGTTTTTGTGCTTAAGAGAGAGCAATTTCTATGGAATTAAAAAGTAATTACAATAGTAACTGTTAAAAGGCACACATAACTAAATCCTATTTTATACATTTATTTCATATTTTCCAAAGCTAAAAGTATGTTTTATCACAGGGATCTTGATTCCTTCTATTTTAACACTCCAGACTGCTTACTGTGTCCTTATTACAGAGCTGGCAGACTAAGATATTCCAAAAATGATTTATAACAAAGACACTATGACCTTTATAGATTACAAAAATAAGTATTTATAATAAACAGGTTGCATCTCCAAATGCTGTAAAAATTCGGTACAGAGAAACAACACATACAGATTGTATTCAAACTCCAAAAGCAGATCTTTGAGAAAAGTGGTTACTTTTCTAATGAAAAATATTCTGAGGACTTGGAACAATGTCTTTGCATCTAATGAAAGGGAGCAGTTTATCTCTGTCAGCCTCAATTTTACATTAAGATTTGGGTTAGGAAGTGTAGAATGCAGAAAGAGAACATTATGGCTCTTCCTTCTTCCAGTCTGAAACTCTAGCAGGTCGGAATACAGAGACAGGAATGTGACATCAGTATCAATTACAATTGAAGAGTTTCACCTGAACACATGTAATTATTAAATTTAAAATAATGTTAAGAAATACATTTTCTTAAATCATTCAGTTGCATTAAGTGCAAGTGAGATCCTCTAAATTTTGCCTGAGATGAAATAATCTTCCAAAAAGAAAAATCTCTGTTAAAAGACAAATTCTTTTAATTCCACCCTTTCAGTAATATCCAAAATGCCACTGGAGGGAGCCCCTGACTAAGGAGAATTCTAGGGTTATTTTCTAGGATTATTTACTGTATACTAGCAATCATGTAAACATTTTTCTAGGCACTCTGAAGTTCCTTTTGTTGCCTAAAATGTTGCAATGGCGTTTAAGAGAAAAAATATCATTATTAAGCTCATCCTTAATTTTAAAAAACTAAGGAAAACAAGAAACATTCAAGCAGAAGAAAAAGAAGTTAGAGGGGAAAGCAGTTTCATTTAGATGCAGAGAAGATTGAAAAGGATGATGTACATCAGGGCCAGAAGCAAGACTGGATCATGAGGCTGGCAGGGGGCTTCTGTTATACATGATGTGTAAAGGATATGTGAAGATCCTTTCTCCTATCATTTTGAAGTAGATGCTGCAGTATATTTTAATATTTCCACAATCTTCTGGAAGTTTATAGCCATACTGAAAATTAAAAACCAAGCTGAAATTCTCTCAAGAGAAAGCTAAACTTGGGTTAAATCATAAGAAGCAAAATCAAATAGCTTCTAACATAATATACGTTTCTATTCCTTACCAGGTCATCCCAGTGCATCTGGAAATCTTCATATGAATGAAAAGGACAGTCAGGGGGTATGGTGTGAAGAATACTTATTATTTGTCCCCTTTTCATACTATGAAAAATAAGAGTTGATAAAATATTCTTGGATATCATTTTATTTAACTATGTAACTTAATTTAGGAAGTATTCAAAAAGATTTAGCAACTCTCTTTACATAAGTAAAAACTAATCATTTGCTCCTAGTTCCTAACACACACTGTAGTAAATCTCAACAACCAGAATTGTTAGGAAAAAGTGAAATTGAATTGATACAAACAACATGCCAGTTATAAACACAAAATAATGACTAATAAAATGTTGCCACACAGAAGCATGCCTATAACTGTTAGACATTAGGGAAAAGTCTATTAAGAGTTGAATGAATCAGAGTCAAACCCGTGTTCCCTATCTACCTCTTCCCTGCTTTGATGATTAAATTATCATACATATTCTCTTAGTTAATTAAAGTTCTTTTTCCTAAGCAGGTTAAAATTTCATCCCAATAGTCCTATTTATATAAATAATAAGCCATTTTCCCCTACAGATGGTACAATCTTAAAAAACAGCTCATGTCAAATGATAATGAATTGTTAATTATACGTAAAGTTTATAAGGTTTTACTGATATTATAATAGTTGTAATTTCATAATGAGCTATCTAGAAATTTTACTTTTGTAAAAATTATATTTAACAAAAATTTAAGTGTATAATAAAATTATTTTACTAATTTGATAAAGGAAATTGATGACTTCTGTAAGTATGACAACACTTTTCAAGTTACAACTCAGTTTCAAAAATTCCTTTATACTTTCGTACACATTGATGTCGAAGCAAAATGAGAGAGAACCACTACACCTTGGACCCACCCCAGATGCTACAAATTGAAATCTCACCTTGGCAAAACGTAGCACCAGTTGCTTAAAATTGAATGTCCTTCAATGATGGCATTCTTGTTAGTATCAAAATCCTTTATAACACTCTGAGAAATATCAAATTCTCTTAGCTTTTAATAGAAATAAGATTTAATGCATTAGTCCTCAAAAGATTTTGTGAAACAAAAGGAACATTAAAAAACACATATCTCACACACATGTGCACACAGTCAATTACAAAGTCGTGTTAAAGGCTTGGTTACATTGGAGGTGCATGGCACCTCACATAATGCAATCAGTGTTTCAGTTCACCCTGCTTCTCTCTATACAACATATCACGTATTTTATGCTTTCTCTCACTTTCCAACCCCAATGCCTATCTTGTACTTATTTCAAGTGGTTTTCAATGTTTTGATGATGTTAGTTTATAGGAAGTTGAATTCTTTCTAAAGGAAGGTATTTACATTTTATCAGAATAGCATCTTTACTAATTTTTTCTTTACTTTAAAAAATTTTTTTAACTGGAGAATGAGTCAGAGAGTTGTTCCTCTATTTGGTCTTTGGGAGGGAGAGCCAATACTCAACTCTCCTTCTGTATCCTTTATCTCGAATGCTTTTCCTCTGGTCCTCAGGTGCCCTATCTGCAGGGTATTTAAGCTTATAGTTTGCCAAGAATTCTTCATTTACATTTCCTCACCCTCTGGGACATTTTAATACAGTGAGTCAAAGATAAGGAGGGACTTTGTTGAAGTGAAGAATAAAGTATTAATGTCCTCCTAAGAGGACACTGTATTAGAGTCAGAGAGAATGGCTCATAATTTCATAATCCCTCATCCCCTTTTTAACATATCATCATACAGCTTTTGGGAAATAATGGCCTAACTTCATTCTCTACTGCTTTTCACTAAACTTCAACTAAACAGGCCAATTTTTTTGTTGTTGCCTAGACAGGTCATAACAATACACTTGCTGAAAGCATTGCCCTTACTCTGATTTATCTGAATTCTACCAGTAAAAGCCTTATAGGCCTGGAGCTAGACCCATCTCCTCTATGTTCAGTGATTGATCCTTCTCTGAATTCTGACAGCATTTATTAAGACTAATGGAAATGAGGGAACAGGGCAGAGCAGGAAAACATGAATGTAGGAACAGGAAGATAAGATGTGCTGGTTATGTTGTGAGGTAAGACAGCAAAGACACTAAGAATGAATATTGTCCTGTGCACTGGAGATAAATCTTGCACTGTGACATACTGTGCGTAAGAGATGAGTTGTCCAATCTGTGACAAAAGAAAGGATGGTCAGTACTGGGATGGCTATGAACATCAGGAAAGACTGACTACAGGTGAATAAGTAGATTATTTGAGGGAAAACAGAACCTAAAACTGAACCCAGAGAGGATAGATACGTCCAAATGTTCACAGTTTATGGGTTCTCATATACACCCACTTACATTAGCTTGAGTTTATATTCTTCTGCCTATCTCAACACTATTCAGAGACCCAAGAAAATTGCTGCAGAGATCTCCACGGTACCAGCACTTAAGGTCTATATTGGATTTTCTCAACACAGATCTTTCTGAAGACTGGAAAACTACCCAAGTGTTCACCATACACACACCCCCAAAGACATTTACCCTCTTATATGTATTTACTTAACAAATATTTATAACATGTCCTTATGTGAACAGACCTTCACTAACAAGAAAGTACTCGGTAAATATCACTTCTTCCTTATAACACCAATCTAAAGAGTTTGGACTTTATTTTCTCTAAGCAATGTTGAGATACTAGAGATATTTAGGTTGTGGCTGTCTGTTTTAGGAAGAGAACTCTGCCGACACTGTGAAGAATTAGAGAGTAAATAAGAGGAAAGGCTAGAAAAAAGGCCAATATGGAGACCAATTTTAATAGTTTGGGCAAACAAGAGGACCTAAATTAGAGCAATGGAAATGGAGAGAGAGGAAGAGATTTCAGAGATCAAGGGAGGCTTTAATGGCTGACTGGATACAGGAAGCAAGAGCCAAGGATAACTCTGAAGTCTGTAGCTGGGTAACTTATTGGCTGTTGATGCCAGTAACCAAGAATAAGTACAAAGGAAGAACACAGTTGAGGTGAGGGAGGGTGACAATTATAACCAAGACTGCACATCATGAGTACACTCCTGTGACAGTTTCTGAGAGGGCAAGCTGCAACTATACGAGAGTATTAGGGAGGTACCAGTGCACCAGCTCACCACTGAACTAGTTGAACCTGCTAAGGAAAAGACAGGCATGCTGAAAATGGAACCCTAGGAAATAGTAACACTTAAAGTGTGATAAGAGAAAGAAGAACCACGAATGAATGGTACGAAATTCTGGATAAAGCAATTTCAGGGAAATCAAATTTCAGATGATTTCAAGAAGGAAAGGGTAGAAAACACTGTCTAAGTTCCAAAGGTTTCAAATATGAATTCCCTCAAACATCTCCTTTTTCTCTGAACTCTAAAGTCATGTAGTTCCTACGACACTTAGTTTGATACTATATTGTCAAACATGGTTATTGTTGTATTTTTTTTTCAATACATTTTAAGTATCCACTCCTGTCAGGCTCTATTGGACGTACAAATCTGAGTCAAGAAACCTAAGGCTAGGTGAAGGAAGTATGATGCAGTGTAGAAGAATGAACAGAGTCAAAGGAAAAACTGTAAATCCTGAATCTCTTTCTTACTACCCTTCATGACCCAGAGCAAGTTACTTAACCTCTGTCCCAATTCGCTTCCGTAAGTGGAATGAAAGTATAGAAAATAAACTAGAAAGGGGTGAGATGATAAACATCCTCCTCCTCACTTTTATTCCCCTCACCTGACCTATAACCAATACTAGATTTTGATGAAAGGAAAATTCAATGTAATTATCTTTTAGTCTACATGGGGAACAAAGACAAATAAGGCAAAACCAATACTCTCAAAGGGATTACAACTTAGTAGGAACACAGACATGTATGAAACCAATTTTTATAAAGGAATGTGAAAAATGCCATATCAAAAATTTAGGTACAGTGAGATTTAGAGGAGCTAATGGTCAGTTATAATTTAGGGAATCAATAGAACAAGTGTGTGTTGAATACATAATGTTGAGTAGAAGACAGAAGTACATCTTGCCCATTTCTGGTGTTTGCTTCCATGTTGAGAAAGCTCTAACACATATTCCTGATATCTCCCTGCCCTTTCATTCATTCCATGGGGTGACTTACCTGGTTGATAAAATTGGGACAATTCCTTCTTCCTCCTCTTGGGAGCTGGCCTGCTGGCAAAGAGTAGTGTACTGCATTCTGTCATATTGGGGTTGGTGCCTGATCTCCCAAGGGAGCTCTGGGTTTCCACTACTCTCATACGTAGGTGGGGAATCTACTTAATTCTAGGATTCAGATAGGCTACATTCTTTAACAACTGTTTTTTTTTTTCAATAATAAACAGTGTGACCATATATGAATTAAATAAAATGGAGACCAAACTTGAAAATTCCTTAAGCAGACAAAACCAGTTAAGCCATGCAAGTAAAACCTAATTTAGCTCACTGTATAACAAGTGAAATTTAATTTCAATTATTTCTTGTAAATACTCTAAAAATCATAAAACTTAAATTGTTTTCCAAAACAGAGGAAGATAATAACGTTTAACCAGTTACCTGTCATTTTGAAAACTCCATTACTATAACCAATCATTATAAAGATAAAATAGTTTCCACATTTTCATTATATAAGCTGTCCTGTCACAACACCCTTCTGAGCTTCATTCCACTGTTGGCTTGAAGACTCCTAGTTCACAAATTATTCTTTTATGTGCAATAAATGCAATAAATACAATAAATACAACTTTAACTGATCTGATTTTACTTTTAACAGACTCCAGTTCATACAGGTTAGGCCAGTATTCCATTAGGTTAGTGCCCCTTTCACTCTCAAAAGTATCCATTTTGGACCGTAAATTATATTCTCATCCTAATAATAAAGGTGGTATTCTGATTTCTATATGTCTTATTCTTCTTTGTCAATCTCTAATTGATTCGAAACTCGGGTATATAAAACACAAGTATAATCTATAGAAAATTCAAAGGGCAGTAAAGCATGATATTAGTCCTTAAGAAGCTTATTATAAAGTAAATTGGCAATATGAAAAATGAGTATAATTATAATAAACACACAAATAAGTATGTGAGTATGCTGCATAATAGCATGAAGGTTTAAAAGAGGCTGGGAGGTCACCGTGGCTCCAAGCTTTGGGACGTTTCCTCTCAGTACAAGATATTCATGTCATGCTGCCCATTCCATTTATTTTTATGCAGGTCAGTTTCCCTATTTGCTTACACAATTCTTAAGGGCCAGAAACTAGATCTTATTTACTTTTGACTTGCCTAGTGCCTCAATATAACAAGTAATCAAAAAATTAAAGAAATATGAATGGAGTAGCATTGGAGTTGGCTCTTAAAATATAAGTATGATCTATAACTAATCAGAGGGTCACTCTAAGCAAAGGAGGAGTCATCTGTCTCAACTTGAACACTACTGACACTTTGGGCTGGATAACTCTTTGTTAGGGTGGAGTTATAGTGATATCCCACACACTATAGGATTTTTTAGCAGCATCCCTGACCTCAAACCACTAAACGAAAGTAGCAACACAACCCTCCCCCTATGTCATAATCAAATTTTTCTCCAGACATTACCAAATATCTCCTGGGGAGCAAAATCATTCATTTCCTTCTCTACCCCCCCTCTACCGAGAACCACTGAAACAGAAGAAAGAAAATAATATTTATTGAGCTACTATTGTAAGTAAGTGTCTATGTTGGGTGTTATAAGAATTAGTAAAACAAAAGACATATCCTTCTACTAGGAAGGCAAAAACCATTATAAGAAAATAGATGCAAAAAAAAAAATGCTACTAGAATGCTAATGAGGGGATATGATATTTAGTATGAACTGAAACAGTGCTTTTAATATTTGGAGGTGAAAATAGAGGCAAGTAGTGAATGCTGAGGCAAGGGAGGGTTGTCTTGAAAGTCATCTAAAGAGATTTTTTGAACAAGAAAATATGATTAAATCTGTGTTAAGCTGACAGTATGTTGTTTTCTTTGAGTAAAAGACTTAGAACAATATCAATATATTAAGCATATAATACTATGGATATTGATAATAAAAAGCTCTTATCACTCTTCTTATTAAAAACTAAAATCTACTAGCATGTTGGTAATAATAATAGTACATTAAGTATATAATAAATCTAGTAAATTATAGAAATCAAAATATGTGGTACCTCAGGTGGTGGCAGTCTGATTGTGTAAGCTTCTATACTTAGACAAACTTGAGTTTCAGTTACATTGATGTCTAATACTGAAAATAAAATATTTAACTGTGAATTTTATGGAACTATTACCCCATTTTATCAAGTTAACTATTTTAGTAATGAAAGAAAGGACTTTAACTTAATTTATCCACGTTAGAAACTCAGTTAAGAATATGTATTTTTTCCTCATGTGGTAAAATTTTTAAAAATCACCATATAATATTTGAGAGTCTGCAGATGAGACAGAGGCCTGAAACAACACTGATATATGGGCATGTATGTGTTGAGGGGTCATAGGGCAGGGTTACAATAAAACAGCGAGTCATCCTACAGTTGAGTGAAAAATTCAATAAATACCTTTTACAAGCCTCATGTCTATTATTATATATTTTATGTGAAAAATGGACACTGTCTTCTTAAATCAGGAGAGGTACCATGCCGAGCTCCTGACTTCATAGTCTTTTCCTAAAAATGCTTATCAATATACCAGCAGATAAAATACAGATTTCACAGAGACCCAAAGCTTCTACCTTGCTTTCTATAATTAAAATTACTTATGGAAGTCAGAGAGTGGTTATCTTGGGAAGGGGTAGTACCTGGATGAAAGCATGAGGGGATTTCCAGGGAACTGGTTATGTTCTGTTTCTTGATCTGAGAACTGGTTATGAGGATATGTGTAGTCTGTGAAAATCCGATGAGCTATATACACTTAACAATTTGTCAGTTTTGCTGTAGAATATTACATTTGGTAAAACTAAAAGAAAAACTGTAATACAAGAGTGAGGGATTTTGTTCTCCTAAACTTTTCTCTTTAATCTCTGGCAGCTATAGTCTCTTGACAGTGGGGATGAAACTGAATTTCTGTAATGAACCCATTTGTCCAGAGCTAGAGCACAGTGACTGCCACTGTCCAACTTAAAAACAAAACCAGTGTAAGGAAGGCAAATAGGCTTCAGCCTGAAAGTTAACTCAAAGAGAATAGTTTTGGATTAGAGGTGCTAGCTCAGGACTTAAGGCAATGAACAAATTGTGATGAAAGCTACCATGATTGATCAATGTCTCCTTGGATTTAGGATTTCCACCTCTCTGCTCTCTCTAGACTACTGTTTAGGAACAGGTCTACCTGCCAAACAGCCATGCTTATCAATAACACATTACACTGTACTGTAAACTGTGTATTTCAGATCATCTTTGTCTCTTTAGACAATCTTTCTTTACTCTTTTAAGGAGAAGAATTGTGTTCTCATAAGCAATAAATCTTTTACTTACAACGATAGTAACAATTTTTAATTATATGATTCTGGAAACTATACATTACAAATGCCTGTAGAATTAAATTCCTTCAGGGTCATAATTTTAACTAAGTAGAGAAATTAAAAATATAGATTTTATTCCAATTAAGAGAAGTTAACTTTTTCTCTTATAGGTAAATACATATATTTTGACCCAGAGGTGATGTCCTGGGTAAATTGTGATTATATTAACAACCGATTCAATTATGACATAACCTAATCATTGATTGTAAACCCAACAATCGGTAACATTGTTTTATTTAACAACTGTTGACCATATTAATGTTTTATCTATTGACTTCTACATTTTTACTTACCAACAGCACTTTGCTTTCCCATCTGAGAAAGAAATTCTCGTCCTTAAAAAAATTCATAGGACATGCTTTATTATTATAACTTATAAATCATGCTTGATAAATTATCAAAGCTAAGCAAAATATTTTAAAATGCAGTTTTACACAAAGGAATATCCGAAGACAGTTCGGAAAAAAATACAATCACTCAAAAAGTATCCAAGTTCAGAAATTCTTCTTTCTAATATTTATTTCCTGGCATAAAATACTTAGAAAATGGACAGACCTCAACACAAAATCCAGAAGAGCCTTTTGATTCCAACAATGTTGGTAATTTGTGTTCATTTTATCATAATTTTCCATAACTTATAGTTATTCCTTTCCAAACATCAAGTATTATATAATTTTTAAAAATTATTTGAAAAAACATCAGTAGGCCTCTGGATACCATCCTAAGTAAGGAGAGGACATTTATATTGTTGTGGACTTGCCTAAGAAGGCTTAGTTGGGGTGAAACTTTAAAAACTATTCCCTCAAAATGATATATCTTGAAATTTAAAATAGATGCCCATAATAGAAATAATCTAGTTCAGAAACCCCTGATGACTGAAAGAGATAAAGTCACCTTGCACCAAGAGATGGCCAGTTTTATTCCAGGCTGGAGCAAGCCTAGCCATGAGTGAGTATGAAAGGCAGTTTTGAAGAATTACAGGGATTACTCTCTGTGGAGCCTCCACCTAAACATATTAAAGAAAAAACATGGGCAAATTCACAGCAATTGGCATGCCCCTGTAAACTCAAAGAAAATGTTTGTTTAGCTCACCACCAAACAAATTGGGTTATTTGGGATATGAGTTACAGTCATCACTATAGGTAATCCTATCTTGTTCTAAAGTTAAAGAAGTGTTAAAACATATTTGCTTTGAAACCAGGAAGACTATCATGCTACAATGCCCAAATTCTCCCTCCTTATCCTGGCCCAATAAACCTGAACTTTTGAACTCCTGTGCTAGGTAGGACCTTACACTTTACTTTGTATGTTGCTTTGCACAGAGGAAACCAGCCCAGAACGATACTATAATAATTTTCCTTGTTGTTCACTTTAATTCAACATCAGAAAACAATTAAATACTTACATAGGCACACATGAAACCATCACCCTGTCTCTACTTGTAGAGAATTTTGAAAAATCACGACTTTTACTTCTGAGTAGTAAGAAGTAATAGGCTCAGATTTATCCTCCCCCTAGAATAACTAAAAAACTGGGCAAGTTATATGAAACAATGGTTCACAAGACACTGGACATCTAGCAATAAAGACGAGCAATCCTTAAGAGACGGGAAACCTACAATTACCTCCTCTGTATTGATTAAGGAGGGTTTCTAGGCTGTGGCGCAGGGAAGGAGAACCCTGGAAGAGCCATGGGTTCCCTTCATTGAGCAGCCAGCTGAGAGTCCAAGAAGCCAAGTGAGCTGGTGTTGAGGGCAAAGCATTAGAGGGAGAGAACTGAACAGAGAGCAAACTCTAAGATCAGCAGAGTCCGTCTTGAGTCATCAGCTAAGTATGAATTAGCACGTGCATGTAAGGGAAATACCCAGGGCTGAGGAAAGAACCAAGGTTGTTTTCTATACAAATATCTTTGCAAATATAGCCTAGAAGAAGATGCTGCCATTGCTTCTCTTAGCAAGACATGCCAAGGAGAATTGTCTCCCAAAGATTATTCACCCTTCATTTTTGTGACCTTTTGGTCTGGTGAATTTTCCCAGAATATAAGTAACTAATTTGCTGGCAAGGAAGAAGACCAAATCTGTTCAATTTGTTTCACAGATATTTTAATTAAGGATACTATCAATAGGACTTCAAGCAGCAGGATGAGGCCAACTTGCAACATTAAACTCAAACATGAACCCAGAGAAAGACCATATTTGGGGCCATAAAATAAGCCTCAATAAATTAAAAAAAGGTTCAAGTTATACAAAACACGCTCTCTAACTACAATTAGAAAACAATTAATAGAAGTAGCCTTGGAAAATCCCCAAATATATGGAAACTACATAACACATTTCTAACCCATAGTTCAAAGAAGAAATCAAAGGAGAATTAGAGAAAAAATAAAAACAAAACATATATTTTACAGAAAATCTGTAGCACTAAATGTCTCTATATTAGAAAAGAATGTTCTCAAGTCAATGACCTCAGCTTCCACCTGAAGCAACTAAAACATGAAGAGTAAACTAAACCCAAAATAAGCATAAGAAAACAAATAATGAAGACCAAAATGAATATCAATGACATACAAAACAGCAAAACAACTGAGAAAATCTACAAAACCAAAAGCTTGTTTTTTGCAATCAATAAGCTTGCTAAGCCTCTAGGAAGACTGATTAGGGAGGGGGGAAAAAAAGACACATGTTACCAGTATCAGGATGAGAGAGGTAACATCACTACAGATTCTACAGCAAAGGAAATTAAGGGAGTATTAGAAGCAACTTTATGTCAGTACAAGTGACAAGTTAGAGGAAATGAACACATTCCTTGAATTAGATAACTTGAATAGTTCTATTATCTATTAATGATATTGAAATTATAGTTAAAAACCTTCCCACAAGGAAAATGCCTGACCCTGATAATTTGATTGATGAATTTTATCAAGAATTTATGGAAGAAATAATAAAAATTCGACACAAACTTCAAAAGCCAAAAAGGCAGGTTCTTTCACATGCATGGCAATAACTTATGAGAAAGATAGTTTAAGTTTTGTTTGATGACAAAAAGAAGTTGAATACAAAATCATTATAAATAGTATTTGGAATTATTATTCTCTTAAGAACTTACTTTAGCTCCGTGTTTTTCAATATAGGCATTAAGTTTTCCAGCTTTATAAAATGGTATCTACAACAACAAAACAACAAAAATCCACATTTATAAAAATTACTTAAATATACTATTAAATAAAGAAATACAAAAAGAATTTAAACATTATACAGCAGAGGACACATCATCAGGCCATCATCCTAACAGTTCCTATGTGTTGGAGAAGCAAGTGATAATCGTTCTCTCCCTAAAACAGAATCTGTAGGTACATTCTCAAAGTTAAGAGAGCCTTTTTGGGAGTGATACAAACCTAGAAAAGGAAAAGGCTAATACATTTCTACAATATTTAACATCTCTCTTAACACACAGTAAATTTCTAGGCATGAATAAAGAAAATATGGACACAACTGTAAGATCAACAGAAAGTTCAAAAGGCCAAAGTGCTTTAACTAACCAATGAAAGACACAGAAATTCAAAGAAGATACTATTTTTAACCTAACAGATCGGCAGATATGTAAAGGCTGCTAATATCTAGCGTTTATGAGGATATGGAAATACAGGTTCTCTCAATATACTCTTTATGAAAATGCCATCCAGCACAAGCTTTTCAGAGAGTAATTTAGCATTATCTAGATTATAGTATAAAATGTATAAATATATATAGTATAAAATGCACTGCAATCCCTCTTCTAGGAATTTAACCCATAGAAACTTCCAGACCAATAAAAATGATATAATTTCAATGATGCTTTCTGAAGCACTATAGTAGTACAACTAGAAATTCAGACGTGCATTAGAAAATATTAACTAAATTATTATACACCAATACAATAAAATATTTCACAGCCTCAACCATGAAACAGAATAACATCCAGGAGAGGCTGTTCAAGGGGAAATGGATGGCAAGTTTAAAATAGTATGTGTAATAATTCCATTTTCTACTTTAAATATAAAAAAAATTACGTAATATCTTTGTAAGAAAGCAAAACATATTTTTATATGCCTGCTTTCCTCTTAGTATTCTTGCCAAGATTAGGATATTTGAATTTATGAAAACTCTGAAACAATGTCCTCCTTGTTCCATAAAGATTTTCAGGCAGAAAAGAACACAAATAAGAGTTATTAGTGTTTACTTGTCTACGAACAGCTTATCCTTCTTAAAAATGATATCAAGAATGAAAAGATAAGATGAATATATAACCATATAACATAGAAGAAAAAATAAAGGAACTAAAAGTTTATTGATAGCTTATTAATATTAATAAATGTTCATTTCACTGGATTCTGAGGAAATGAAATCTGAGAGTAAGAGGATCTTTTCTCAAAGATTTTTGACAAAAATCACAGAATAATATAATTTTTATAAAGATTTTTGGCATTTCATTATCATTCCCAGTAACATACAGCACTGGGAAAATTCATTCTAATTTTATTAAGTGTAAAAAAAAAAATTTTAAATACAGTTTCCAAATTAAAAACACTGTCGATCTAAGTCCTTTAAAAACAATTGGACATATGTTGGAATGGGAAACTTCTTCCTTTACTTTAATGGAATTCTAAGGAAAAAAAATATAAGAAAAATATTAAGCCCATGCTATTTTTAAAAAATTATGCTATATTATTTTACTCATTCATAGTCTTTATCTTAGTATTTATGACAGAAAAAAATATTAAATTAGAACCATGAAAATGAATTTTAAATATCAGGTATATCAAAGTTAAAGTCTATAATTGATTCACTCAAACTATTATACAGGTAATTTGGCTTCATAAACCACATTCAATTTGAGCTATAATTAATTCTCTTATCAATATTGCTCCCAATAATTAGTAATAACACTTCATAAAATTTTAAAATACTAACCGCCATCACTACCCAAATTTGGTTTAATATTCCAGGCACAGGTGATGTAAGAATATCTTGGTGCAAAAACAGCAATTGCCTGTGGAGATGAAATGTATTAATTGTAAAGTGGATTTTCCCACTGTCTGGTTTCACTTTATCAGAACATTTAGAAAGTTGCTTAGTTCTATTCAAAAGTTTACATTTCTTCTAGGGAAGGACTGTGTTATAGACTTCTGTATCTCTCCCCACACTTAACATGGTAACTTGAATATTTAGGTATTCATCCAAGATTTAAGAATGTTAGGTTCCAAATATTGATATTAATATGAAAACATGTCCCTGCATCTGAGTTTCCCAATCTCTTTTATCTGTGAACTTAGATTCCTCATTTAAAACTCCATTTCTGTCCAAGTATAGATTTGAAGATGTCTAAACATTGTTAAGAATCCAGCTCTTTGAACTTCTGTTTCTTCTGTTTTCCTTTTTTTAAGTGGTGATCAGGAGGCATTAGAGACAAGACTGTAAGGATTCATCTATCAGTGATCAAATACTTCACCGTTACAACTATCGACTGGATGCTTTTCCTTTAAAAAGAAAATTTTTTCCAAGCCAAAATGAAGAGGGTGGTTGTTTCAGTTTAGCATTCAACAGCCAAATGAACTCATAACAACAATCATCACAATTCAAATTACCATCAATTTTGTTTCAAAGATCAAGGAAAAGGTGGATAAAACATGAAAGGGACTAGAAACGGAAATATGAAAAATTTCAAAATTCATCATCAGGAAAACAAACTTTAAAAGACACGGGTGTGTGTGTGGGGAGCGGGGAGGGGTTTCCTCAAAAAGTAAGACGGGCCAACCTGTTTCTCCTCAGAACGCTGGTGCAGAACCAAGTGCAGCAAGCACTTGATTTTTGCAGTGCCTGCCTTTGTCTGACATAGTGAAGTCTCTCAATCTGTCCCAGCCTCTTTGTCAGCTACTGGGACTGAGTCAAGACATCCCACTCTGTGGGCACGGTTTGAGAGTAAACAGCGGAAAATCTCTGGTTTTCCACCTATTTGTTTCCAAAAGGAGTTGCAGGTAAATGTTCAATAGGTTTCAAATTACACCTTAGCAGGAAGGGTACAGGCTCCTGGATGCACTTGAGTGGGAGAATATACAAAGGGAAGAAGGAAAGTTTTGTAATTAAGAACAAAATGGGGAGGACAACTCGAGAGTGTCTTCTTTATTTCTGGCTCCTAGCAATATTCTGTTTGCTCCTCTGCAAGAAAGGCAGCTACACATGTAATCTTGTCATGTATTCTAAGAGTCCTTCTTTGAGCACCTCAAACAATTTAAGGGACTAATACATGCTGGGTCCTCAGCAATCATGGAGTTATACTTTAGGCTTCAACCAAGCTGTTTCTCAGACTACCTTGGGTCAGATATTTCAAGACAGTTCTTGGAGAAACAGTCTTCAGAAGTGATCTTATGCTGACCCGAAAATTAAGAGAAACTGTCATCTGAAGTGTTTACAGTATCTCCTAAAGTGTCCATAAACAGTAGGCACTCAATAAATATTAATTTCTATCTCCAAGTTTTGGGGAGTCTGATCTAATTCATCAATGTCTGTAAAAAATTTAAATTAAAAACATCACACAAGAAGTCACAAATATAAAAACTCAATAGTGTGATATCCCATCTCAAGTATTTTAAGTCCTTCCCCAAATGTAATCCGATATACCTGGTCAGAAGAAAACTGAATTCCTTTATTTAAAACTATATACACAGATTGAGTAGAAGAGTAGTTTGCTTTAAAGGAGATACTTCTTTTTTTTTTTTTTTTGTGGTACTTTAACGTTTATTTATTTTTGGGACAGAGAGAGACAGAGCATGAACGGGGGAGGGGCAGAGAGAGAGGGAGACACAGAATCGGAAGCAGGCTCCAGGCTCTGAGCCACCAGCCCAGAGCCCAACGCGGGGCTCGAACTCGCAGACCGCGAGATCGTGACCTGAGCTGAAGTCGGACACCCAACCGACTGAGCCACCCAGGCGCCCCAAAAGGAGATACTTCTAAAACAGTGCGTATAAGTCTCAAAAAATTTAGAAAGCCTCAGTCATAAAGTGTACTTTTTACCTGCACATCTTCATTTGCGTACTCCTAATCTCAGTATCCGCCACCCCATTACTCAGTATTATCCTGACAGCACAGAGTTTGTGTAAATCTGGAGATGTGATGAAGAACAATGATTGCTGCCTCGAATCATTCATATTTTCCTGTGGACTGAATGTCTCAGCTATCAGGCCTTTAAAGATAAACAACAATAAAGCGGTAATAAATTCTCTTACCAATAGGGATTTAATACCAACCCACTACAGAATATTTGATATTGTGTTGGAATAAGTCAGTAAAAACAAATTAGCAGACTTCAGCATTTAAATATCACTAACATTTTATCTTTAAGAATTTTTTACCTGCTAGAACTTTTTGGTACAAGTTTTATTAAGATGTAATGCAAATAACCTCCAACTCACCTATTTATATTATACAATTCAATGGTTTTTACTATGTTTGCCGTTATGCAACCATCACAGTACACATTAGAAAATTTTCATCATTTCAAAAAGATAATCTAGAATTTTAAGCCCGAAGTTTTATATCCTAAATAATTTGAATATAATAATACGAAAACCAGCTATTTAAATGCCTACTCTAATCTAGGTACTAGATCTATTTCTATCACATTGTCTTTATTTAATAAATTTCTCTAATGTTCCTATTTTTTTAACATTTATTTGAGAGAGAGAGAGAGAGAGAGCATGAACAGGTGAGGGGCAGGGAGAGAGGGAGGCACAGAATCCAAGGCAGGCTCCAGGCTCCGAGCTGTCAGCACAGAGCCTGATGCGGGGCTCGAACTCACCAGCCGTGAGACCATGACCTGAGCCGAAGTCAGATGCTGAACCGACTGAGCCACCCAGGCGCCCCTGTGTTGTGCATATTTTAAAGAAGTTCAGTCAAAGACATAGGCGAAAGTTTGTGATTCGCTACTTTTATTTCTAAAACGCATTTCCCACGAAAATGACTTTGTCGTTGTTCCTTTAAATATCTTCTGGCAGATGGGGCGCCTGGGTGGCTCAGTCAGTTAAGCCTCTGACTCTTGGGTTCCACTCAGGTCACGATCTCCGGGTTTCTGAGTTCCACGGGGCTCTTTGCTGTCAGCCTGTGGGCTTCAGATCCTCTGTCCCCATCTCTCTGCCCCTCGAGCAGTCCCCCTCCTCTTCCGCCTGTCTTCAAAGACTAGCCAGAAAAAAGCACGCAAACCGCACTGCTCTGTTCAGGAGCGCGCAAAAATCTGCTTTTCGAGTTCGCGACCAGGACAAGTCACAGATAGAGAGCGTCTTCTCTTTTCCCGGATACCCTGCCGCTGGCGCTCACGTGTCCTTCGGGAACCGCGGTACCACACTGCCCTCCCTCGGGGCGATCACCCAGCAGCAGGGGCTCCCAGAGCCCACTGGCAAGCAAGCCTGGCCCCGGGGCCGGGGTCTGAGCAGCCCGCGGCCTGTGGGGCCCGCGGGCCAAACTGCGGCCCGGAGGCTAGAGGACCGCGGTGGAAACATGGCCAAGGTCTTCATCCGGCTGAAATCCAGGGTGTAAGCGCCGACCCTGTGACTAACCCGTCAAAAAAGGTGCCCTGAAGACTGGAACCTGGGGCCCGTCCCCCCCCCACCCTGCTCCGCCATCA